TAGCAGATCTATACAGGTGGAGCTGGGGAAGGTGGAGGGTTTCAGAGAACTCTGAAAGCGCGCTGCAGGAATCTCAAGTAAATGCTAGCCAGCCATATAAATGCAAGGCAGTAAGCTCATTGGCTGCATATGCAGCATGAACCAATCAGCTTGTGCCAAGTTGTTTAACTCTCTGAATATCATCGGTTACGTTAACACCCCGTCAGAATGCACCATCTAGAGTTTCATGACTAAACTATATATTTATATTGTATGTGGATCTGAACATACATTAGAACTGTGGTACATCATTTAGTGAATACTGTGCTATATGATCATGGCAGGAGAGCAGGCGGGTGAAGAGAGCATCACACAGATCCTGAAGAAAGCTCACGACATCTGTCTGGCGGTTTGTATGTGGTTCTGGTCCAGCGGTTGCCCATGACAACACACTCTCATCCGTGCTGCTGTGTGTGTGGTTTCCCATGAGCTTTCATTGAGATTCACTGCTGCACAAACATCCATCCAATCACCTGATGCTGCAGCTGTCAGTCACACCAGTGTTTCACACACACACACACATATATACACACTGCGCTGAATCACTATATATGTATCAAAAAAAGGATCATTTATCATCATTCATGTTGTTCCCAACCTGCTTGACTTAATCTCTTCTGTTGAAGATGAGTAAATGATGAGAGATGTTTCATGTTTTGATAACTTGTAACATTAGTGCTGTGACATTAGTGAGGTGTGGGTCAGTGTGAGAATGAGACTGAGCTGATCTAATGCAGAAAAACCTCTTCAAACTGACAGCTTGATATCTGGGAGGATCGATTATAAGATGACGTGTTGATCTTCAGAGGCTTGTATGCTGAAGGTTTGTCATATATGTGTGCATGAGTTCACTAATGTGCTAAATATGTATTTTATACACAGCAGAAATGACAGACAGACAGACATTCACTTATTGCAGACAGTCTCATGTCTCACCTCCCAGCACGTACACACACACACACACACTCACTCTCTCTCCCTCTCTCTCTCACACACACACACACACACACAGGCGTTTATTGCTTGTGACAGCAGGAGGGCGAGTGAATTGCGCTGATGTCTCGTGTAATTCGTCAGGCTGCAGCAGCATATTGGCTGTTTATTAGTACTTGTAAAGCACATATTCTGCATGTCCATATTCTACATCCATAATCCCCAACACCTAAACTTAACAACTACCTTACTAACTATTAATAAGCAGCAAATTAGGAGGTTATTTAGAAGTTGTAGTTAATAGCAATAATTGGACCTTATAATAAAGTGTGACCATATATATGTGTGTGTGTGTGTGTATAGCTATTATTTATATAGATAATGTTTGTCAATTTAATTTATTAAAATGTATGTATTTAAATACATATTTAAATATGAAAATATTAGTTTTTAAATTAGATCTTTTAGAATTTTTTTTAGACTTTAAAAAATCATACTTCATCTACTGGAACCTATGTATGTAAGCTATTTTTTATATATAAACCAACTATACTTATATAATATATAAACAACGTATACATATATTCCTATATATAGTATATGTATATATGTAGTACATTATATGTTTATATATATATATATATATATATATGTGTGTGTGTGTGTTTATTTAATGTATAAATATGTTTTTTAAAATTAGGTTTTGGGTTGTTTTTAGATGTTTTA